CCAAGTAGAATTTTTAAAAAACAAATAGGGCTACTCCTTCAACTAAAATCTTTCCTAAAGAGTTACCTCCTTGGAGAACATTTCTAACTATCCTTTCTAATAATGAAACTTCAGCTTCTCTTTCTCTTACTCACCTCTATTTTCTTCTCTAGCACCAAGCAATTATTTGTTATACATCTTGGCATGTGTGACTTGTTTTAATTAGGGAGGCATAGTTGACATATAACATTAGTTTCATGGGTGTGACATGATTTGATATTTATATCAAATTGCAAGATGATTACCAAAATAAGCAGATTAGCATCCATCACCACAGTTACAAAAATTTTTATTTCTTATGATAACTTTTAAGACCTACCCTCTTAGCAACTTTCAAATATACAGTATAGTAGTAACTATAGTTACCATGCTATATATTACATCCCCATGACTTACTTCTCTTATAACTGGAAATTTGTACCTTTTGACCCCCTTCACCCATTTCTCCCACTCCCAGCAACTGCCAATCTATTCTATCTGTGAGCTTGCTTTTTTTTTCGTATTCCACATATAAGTGCGCTCGTATGATATTTGCCTGTCTCTGTCTGACTTACTTCACTCAGCATAATGACCTCTAAGGTCACCCACGTTGTTGGAAATATGCTGAATAACATTCATTGCATACACACACACTACATTTTCTTTATCCAATCATCCATTGATGGACACCTAGGTTGCTTCCATATCTTGTCTATTGTAAATAATGCTGTATTTAGATCCACTGCTGTATCCTCACAGTACCTGGTAAACAGTAGGCGCTCCAAAGGTATCTGTTCAATGGATTCACCGGTAAAACTAAGTTTTTCAAGAACCAAATATTCCAAAAAGATGTGAAAAATCCTGTCACTTCAGCCAGCCTCTACCAGAGGTGTCCAACCTGCGGTCCACAGGCTGCATGCAGCCCAGGAATGGCTGTGAATGTAGTCCAACACAAAATCGTGAATTTACTTAAAACTTTATGAAATTTTTTTGTGTGTGTGATTACATGTCACAACATATTTAATGTGTGGCTCAAGACAACTCTTCTTCTTCAAGTGTGGTGCAGAGACACTGAAAGGTTGGACACCCCTGAGAGTCTAAACTATAAGACTAGTCATTGAGGTAGTGTTATAACATGGCACATTTGTGGTTGCCAGTAAAACTCCAAAATATACATTGTATTAATATATTTCCAGCATAACATATTAACATATGCTAACATATGGCTAGCATAAAACAGAAATTTTTTTCTGTTCTAAAAATACAACTCATACAACTTTGTCTAACATTTTCAAATTTAATGATTATTCTGAATTTTTACTGAATTTGACAATTTATAGAAGAAATTCTTGGTGTTTCACTCAGGCTGTTTTAGTCACACTTGTGATATTCTAGGAACACAGAATAACCCAAGATTTTATCACCACAATTACCACAGCATTGCACATACCAGGCACTAAATAAATGCTCATTAAATAAAACTAATGAATATTGAAATATGGCTTGTTATATAATTTTCTAATTTTCAGGATTTGGATGACAAGTTATACATCCTTAACATGTAATATAGAACTATAACTCTTACGGTGAAAGTATCACTTCTAAAGTAAAAAGAAAGTACACCCAAGACATGTACAAGAAAGCATACCCAAGACGTACAATTGATTCATATACCAACAAGGATCTTCTGTCTTGCTGCATTTATGGTCAACATCATGTGATTATGCAGGTATTGATTTGTGATAGGTATATGTAATTAGCTTGCTAATACCTGAATAATTAATGTTATTCTAGATACCTTTTCTATTAGTTAATATTAGGGGTTTGTCTAGTACAATGAGAAGGAAAACTGTTTTCCCAGTCTCCTATGTCCTCAACCTCTTCCTACCTGTGCTTTCTTCTCAGAAATCTATTCAATTCTTTTTCAATTTCCATCAACTCAATTCTATGATCTAGTCTAACTACCACCTTCTTTCTCCCTTGTTTCTTAAGAGTAACCGAAGTTTATCATCTCCACTTCCTTATTTCCCCATCATTTCTCAATCTGTAGCAATCTAGCTACTTTCCTCAATCTCCCATTAACCTATTCTCAACAAGGTCATTCCTGCTAGTGGCTAAATCCAGTTAGTGCTTTTCAATCCTTAACTTGCTTTATGCCCTACAGCTGCCCTGTCAAATACACTCTAATATTTCAGCGACCACTACTCACACATATGGTTACCAAGCACTTCAAATATACTGAGTACAAATAATCTGGGTATGTGGACTTCATGAAATCAAAATACAGATCAAGAATTTCTGATGAAAATCTAGCATTTGCATTAAGATATAACATGTAGATATAAGCATAAGTATAATATACACACTGGATTTCAATGACTTAGTATGAAAAACAGACTATAACATAATCTCATTAATAATTTTTACATTAATTTTATGTTGAAATGAGTATTTTTGATATATTGGGTTGAATAAGATTATTAAAATTAATTTCACCTATTTATGTTTTTTGAGGCAGCTTAGTGGAAAATTTAAAATGGTCTTTGTATTATTTTATTTCTATTGAACAGTGAGGCACTATAGCATTATATATTAGAATGACTGGTACTCATTCCTTCTTGAAACGCTGCTGCTACTTACCTCCTCTTACTTCTTTGACCACCTCCCACCACGAACATTTTTAGTAATGCAGTGGAGCTTATTCGTCCACTCATTTTTTTAAGTGCCAGTGTCTCTCAAGGCTGTCCTGAGGCCCTTTCTAGGTGCTCTCCCTGGGTGATCTCACTCTCACCCAAGGCTTCCATTATTCACTTACACTGATGACTGTAAGCCCTTCATTTACAAATCAGCTTGCTCTCCTGAGAATGGTATGTTCAGCTGTACCTACATGTAAGTACATCTGCACTTAATCTGCCATTACATCTTTTGGATATTCACCTTATTAATATCATAAATCTGGTCCCTCTTACCCATTTCATTCAGGTCCTCACAATTTCTCAGCTTTATCACTAACATTAGCTTCCAAATTCTAACCCTGCCACCTTCCAAATCAATTTCTTTTTGCTGTTAAATTTCTAAAACTCACACCTGGCCATATTACTTCTCTGTTCAAAATACTTTGGTGGTTTCCTCACTGCCTTCAAGATAAAATGAAAACCTCTTATAATCATACATAACTCCTGTAACCTCTTATAATCATACATAACTCCTGTAACCTCTTATAATCATACATAACAAGTAAACTGGATGTTTACTTGTTTCTCAGCTTTATGCTTCATCGTCAATCCTATAAAATCCCAACCCCAGGTATGTCTAAGTACCTACCGTCCCCTGAATGCAACAATTGCTTTCTTACCATCATGCTTTCTCTGCACATGCTCTTTCTGATGACTACAATACCACTCCTAAAACTCTATCCCTGCTTTCCCAGTCATCCTCCAAAACTCATCTAATGTGCCATCTCCCCCAGGAAGGTCTCCAAACTCCTAAGTCTGAGCAAGTGTTCCTCCTCTGTGTTACCATCATCCCTATTTACAGCCCTTCTAATAACTCAATCACACTGCCCTTGGATGATATGGCCTGTCTATGAATACCCTGAAGGTAGGAATAAAGTGTTTTTACTTTATTTCCCTGTGTTATACTTAATAAGTACCTATTGATAAACATACACTATATTAAATAAGGGAAACCGACAGAACAAAATGTAAGGCAAGAAATTTTTAAATGGACTAATAAAATCATGATTGAAATACAGAAAGTTAACCCCAAATCACCCTAGAAAAACTTTAATTATATGGTCTATGTCATTATGTATTACTCTAAATACTCATTAAAATATCAAACACTCAACGGAAGCAACAATTGAAAACATTAAAGACTAAATGTCTATTTCTTTAACCTTGTTTTTCATACCATTTCATCGCTAATTCCACTTATCAGTACCTTTCTTCAGCTCTTTACATTAATTTTCCTTCCAATTAAATTTGGCATTCTTTCCTTCCCTCACACAATCCTTTTCATTTTTACTGTCCCTGTCCCTTCTACTCCTCTTTCAATATAACAGAAAATTACAAATATTGTCTTTGTCATCTCTGTCAGCAATTTTGTATTAAACAAAGAACAGTCAAAAAACAGTGAATGAAATTATATCACCAGTCAGATTGATAGACAAAACCACATGCCTTAATCTGGGTGGGTGAGTTCATAATACTAAGCAGTAATCTGAACCACATGTTATACTAAGTGGAGTCTGACAGGCATCAGTGAGTCCTTCGAGTTACTGCAGCAAGACAGTGGGGAGTAAGAGAAAAGAACAGACAACTTGGTGGTGGTGAGGGCAGCCACAGCTCAAACTCACAACATTCTGCAACTTGTGCCTGCCCTTCAAAAGGAAGCAGAAACAAGACATGAGAAAGCAGGAAGCTGTCATCTCTCTGGACTAGCATAGATGACTAACCAATTTGACGGTGTGAGCAGCAATAGCCAAGTAGCACCATGTGCTAGTCTGAGCATACTGGCATGGATGCAAACTGAAATACACAAAATAAAGCCTCCTGTTCCCAGAGAACTTGTAATTTTTGGTGTTACTATGGAATAGATTATCAGGGAGGCAGGAAAGTGCCTGCAGAGGAATTACATAATTACAGTATTTATACTAGGTTGGTAGGGAGAAACAATTTTTTGAAGAATTTTTTGCTAGAGGGAAATAGGGTATATTCTTTTAATTACCTGAAAGTAACCTTTCAAAACCACTCAACATTAGTTCTTGTAGGCATGAGGGAAGTTCAACTAAAGACTGATGTTTTACAGAATTCACAAACAAAAATGAAATCTCTTAAATAACTTTACACTAAGCAAGATAATATAACAGCAAAGAGTATGTTTGAAATGTTTCTAAAACATCTAGAATTGGACTGTCAGAGCAGCACCTTTAAAAAATCAATTTAATTCAAAGCAGTACAGGGCAAGATTTATTATCTTACCCGTGTCCAGGAGTTAAGTTTCAATTCTCCAGAATCCTGTGGTACTTTTTTAATCAGACAACATAAGCACCATATTATAATTTTTTGGCTTTCATCTACAAAAAGAAAAACTAAAATGAGTAAGTTTAATCAAATAAAATGGAAAGATAATCAGTATACAAATTTTTAAATATTACATTTGCAGGAAATATATTCATTATATTTTAGGAAAATCTCAAACTACTAAGTTCACAGAACAAGCATCCGGGACCATGTGTGAAATTTAATTTTGTGGGGTTTTTACTTCTTGTGGGTTTGGGATCACATATGCTTAGCCTTTGTGTGGTCAATTCCCTTTCTGTTATAGCAGCAATTTTTAAAGCCAAAAAAGAATGATGGAAAGAACTGGGCTTTTCTAAACGTCAGATCTTTATTTCTCATTTCAAACCATTAGTAGTTTCAACCTTTTTAAGGCAACATAATTGTTTTAAGCAGTATTCAATATTCTGACTTAATCTTTTGTCTAATTTGCCAAAACACCCTCACTTGTTAAAAACAAATTCAACAAAAAGACTGTGTAATACTAAATGGTTCAGATAAAACAGAAGGCTCTTAACATGCTCCTAATTCTTTACTCTAAAATTTAAAACTTTACTAAATACGTGATGAAAATGCTGAACTTTAAAATCTTGTAATTGATGGGACTATCTAGTTAGTGAGCCATTTCTTTTTTCTCTTTTGCAAACTGAGTCCATTCCAGCTGGAAATTTTGTAACAGGATTGAAACGCAAAATGAGGCTGAAGATGTCAGTTACCTGAAACTAGAGCCAAGCAACTATGGACTTTATCACAAGGCCATGGAGGTGAGACTGAGGGAACTCAGCACCGGGAATCAACCCTTTGCAGAATCCTGAGGCCCTTGTGGGCCTCAGAAAAATAAATTTTCCTTCCACCCTTCTAAATTCTTGTCTGAACTAATAATCAAATTTACATGAGACAGATTAACAGGGGAAAATGACCAAATTTATGATGAATGTACATGCGTGGGGCTCCAAAAAATATGGGACCAAAGGAGAAATCAGGCAGTTAAGGCTTATATGCCATCTTGAGCTAAGGAGAAGGGGTGGTGATTGTGTGGTATGAGACTTTAAAGGGCAGGAAGACAATTCACATGGAGATCGAAAAATGTTTTGTAAATAAATGTTTGCTGGACTATCTGTAACAATGTGGCACAAAGAGGAATGTGATCAAAGGGCCCTATTAGGTCTCTTCTTGTCCATCACACTTAGTTGATATTAAACTATATTATCTACCATAATAGCTCCCTTCCTGGAGCAGGTTCTCTATTTAAATTCTTAAAGTAGTTGGGGGGAAGGTCGAAGTTTTTATTTCTTTCTAAATCTTTTGTTAATTAAACCAGTTTAAAATAAGCAATATTCCAGAAGGCATGTTCTTTGCTGTCAAACTCTGCTTCCCTTCACCCTTTACCCTCTTCTGCCATCTCATAAATACAGCATTTGTAAAGGTTTCATTAACAAGAAATAAGGGAAATACAACATTTACCCATCTCTGTATTTTCAACCACACACCAAAAGACACTAACAGTAATTCTTAAACTCATTTTTCCTCATAAATATTTATAGGCGTATACTCTCCTAATAACTAACATCCCTAAACAAATTTTATCAGAAGTTATTCAGAAGGATGTTCACTTTTTCTTTTTTTAAAATTTTTAAATCATGTTTATCCTATTACAGTTGTCTCAATTTTTGCCCTTTTGCCTTCCGCCACCCATCCCACCCCCATCCCGGCTCCCACAGTCAACTCCCACTCTGTTGTCCATGTCCATGGGTCATTCATGCATGTTCTCTGTCTAGTCCCTTCCCCTTCTGTCCACCACTGTCCTCCTTCCCCATCCCCTCTGGTCACTTTCAGTCTGTTCCATGTTTCCATGACTGTGGTTTATTTTGTTTGTTATTTTATTTCTTGAATAGATTCCACTTACAGGTGAGATCATATGGTACTTGTCTTTCACCAACTGGCTTATTTCACTTAGCATAATATTCTCTAGTTCCATCCACATTGTCGCAGAAGGTAGGAGTTCCTTCTTTCTTTTCTTTTTAATGCAGATTATTCTTTCTTTCTTTCTTTTTTAAATGTCAAAATCCATTATAAAATATTAAAAAATTTAAATCCATGATAAAGTCTCAGCAATGAAAACATGACACCGGCACAGAAATAATCAAGATCAGTGAAATAAAATGAGCATTCTAAAAACAAAGGTATATGTCTAACAATGTAATATATGATTAAATTGATATTTCAAATCAATGGGAAAAATAAGGTTTATTCAATAAATAAGGTGCATGGACCACTATTACTTGAAATAAAACAAATATAGAACCTTATTTCACATATTATACAAAAAATATTCAGGTGAACTAAAAATCCACATGTAAAATCTAAGGAGTTTTAGGAGAAAATACAAACTAGTATTTTCCTTACCCTGAAGTAAAATATTCAAACCCAGAAGCTATAAAGTAAAATATTGAAAAAATGACTATATTAAACATTTAAGACAATATAGCAATATACATATAAAAAAGTTAAAGGATACGTAATAGATAGGAAAGTATCTGCAATACATCTAAAGGGTTAATAGTTTTTTTGGTTTTTGTTTTGTTTTAGGGAAAAAAATTCTATAAACATTTAATCAAAAAATGGATAAAGAATACCAAAAAGTCATTTAAAGCTTTTTAAAAACAATAGAAATAGGCAAGAAATATACAAAAACAGGTTTAGTTTCAACAAATAATAAAGTAACAACTAAAATAACACATGATTGTCACAATCAGATTAATAAGTATTAGAAATATTGGTAATATCACGTACTGCTGACTGTGAAAAGAACTGGGTGTTCATAAATTCTTTTTCTTCATCTTCTTAAAGCAGTTCTTTAGCATATCTTGCAATGCTGGTTTGGTGGAGATGTATACTTTTAGCCTTCTTTTGTCTGGGAAACTCCTTATTTCACCTTCCATTTTAATTGAGAGCCTTGCTGGGTAGAACAGTCTTGGTTGCAGGCCTCTGCCTTTCATGACTTGAAATATTTCTTGCCATTCCCTTCTGGCTTGCGGTGTTTCTGTTGAGAAGTCAGCTGCTAGCCGTATCGAGGCTCCCTTATATGTTAATATCTCTTTCTTCCATGCTTGCTTTAGGATTCTCTGTTTGTCTTTGTTATTTGCCATTTTAATGATGATGTGTCTTGGAGTGGGCCTCACTGGGTTCCTCTTGAATGGGACCCTCTGTGCTTCCTGGACTTGTGCGACTTTTTCTCTCTTCAAATTAGGGAAGTTTTCCATCATGACTCTTTCAAACATGTTCTCTGTCCCTTCCTCCTCCTCTTCTCCTTCTGGTATCCCTATTATATGGATGTTATTACATTTCAGGTTGTCCTGCATTTCCCTAAATACCTCTTCATTTTTTAGTCTTTTCTCATTTTCTTGCTCTTTCTGGGAGCTTTTTTCTACCTTGTCCTCCAGGTCGCTGATTCGAGCCTCTGCTTCATCGAGCCTGCTTTTGATTCCTTCTACTGTGTTCTTCAATTCAGAGATTGTATTCTTCATTTCCTCTTGTCTCTTATTGATAGTTCCCCTGTTGTTTTTCATGCTGATATAGTTTGCAGTTCCTCGTAGTTTCCCTGTAATTTTTGGTAATTCTCTCTTACTCACTGAGCTCATTGAGCTTCCTTAGAACCATTGCTTTGAAGTCAGTATCTGATAGTTTACTTGCCTCTATTTCATTTAGTTTTTGTCTTCAGCTGGGGGTGTTTCTTTGTCTTCCCATTATCTGTGAGACTCTTCCTTCTTGCTTCTGCTTCTTAAATTGATCTGTCTTGATTTCCTGACTTTGTGGTGCAAACTCCTATGGTAGGAGACCACTGTTTTTTCTTTCTAGATCTGCCTCTGATGTTGTCAGATGTTGACCCTGTCCGACCTTAGGCAATCTGTTTGAGACTTCCAGGAATCTACTGTCTGTGGCTGTCTCCTTCAGCTGTTAATCTATTCACTCTGCACTCAGCAGGCCAGTTTAGAGACCACAGGGCAAGGCAGAGTCCCTCTTGGGGGGCGGCATTATTGGGTTCTCTCACACCGCTGCTGCTACTCAGGGGACTGGTCTGCCTGAGCCAGATGGCTGCTGCCATATGGGAGAGAAGTCAGCTCTGAGACCCTATGCACTACTCTCTCTGTTTTCTCCCCAAAGCCTCCGTCTCCAGTTTCTCCTCAAGTGTCTCTAAACCACACTGCGCCCACTTCAGCCTGGGTTCTACTATCTATGGTTGCCACTCTGTATTCAGCCATGAGGCTTTAGGACTACCCGGCCAGGGCCAAGTCCTTCCTCAGGGCAGGGTTATTGTGACCTCTCATGGTCCTACGACTCAGGGGTGTGGTCTACCTGAGCAAGATGGTTGCTGCCACATGGGGGATGAGTCAGTACCGAGATCCCATGGGCTACTCCCTCAGTTCTCTCCTCAAAGCCACCTTCCCCAGTCTTTCTGCAGATGTCTCTAACCCACTCTGCCCCTGCCTTTGCCAGAGACCAGGGTAAGTAGCTGCAAATACAAATGTATGCGTTGGCCCTTTAAAAGGCTCTTTGTCTCTCCAGCTGCCTGTCTCTGGCAGAGAGCAACCCTGCCGCTTTTCTCAGCTGGCAGTCACCTGTGTACTTTCTGGGCTTTGGAGCTATAGGCTGGAGATATCCGCTTATGATTTAGACCCTGCTCTTCTTAGGGGGATCCAACTGGCTGTTTCAATATCCTTCTGGTGCTGCCACCCATGGGTGGTCTGCACGCCTTCTCGAGTCTCTACCGCACTCCTTACCAGGTAGGTTGTGCTAAAGCTGATTCTTCTGTCTGGCCAAAGTTATAAAGCTCTTTTCTTGCTGTTGTTCAGTTGTTTGTTCCAGGGGATTTCTCCACAATTTAGTTGTAATTCCAGGTTGGTCCTGGGAGGAGGTCAGTGTGACTTCCACTCACCCTCTGCCATCTTGATTCTCCAGGATGTTCACTTTTCCCCCTAGTTTTTATGAGCCCAAATACAGCAATGGCCAGTGAAATGAGATCCACTTATTTCAAGAATCATATAACTTAACCTCTAATGATCCTAGGGTTCTTCAGGTTAAACAATGTCACTGATTAAAAATGTGACTATTGTATGTCCTATGCTTTAAGTATATTAGAAGAAATTCCATCTTCATGTCAGAAGCATGACAGGTACATCTGATGATAAACTTAAGACAAGACAGAAATAAGTCTGGAAAAACTTCCAAGAAGTGGTATGAGGAAGTAGGAGTGGACATCATAGGTCAATAAGCTACTAGGTAGGTCCTCTAATCAGAACCCCCACCTTCATGCATAATCAGAGAGAAAATGTTTATTTCAGGCAACTTCTGCAGTGGTTGTTGATTTCAACAACAAGCACTGGCTAAAACCTGATCAATCCAAAAAGGAAAAAAAATTGACCATAGACTGACCCCAAGCTCATTATACCATCACTACAATGAGAAACTGACAGCACAAGTAGAAGGGGAGCCAGGGGGATGAACACCATGACTTTTCCAGAACAGACCATATCAGTAACAAGACTCCCCTACAAATCTGAAGACAGAGGTAGAATTTGTTACCACAAAGTTCAGAAACTGAAACACATAAAATCCCAGGAACTGACTGACTGCAGAGCTCAACTCACTCATTCATTGCAAATGGGATGTGTATTTTTGCTTCTTTCACAGATGTTCCCTGCAAGACTTGCAACTAGGGGGCAGGGGGGCAGCGGTAGGCGATCTCAACTCAACCCCTGATCCTGTCTCCAGGATCCCATGTCCTGATCTTTTTCTTTCTCTACCTAAGTAAAACTGTTTTTGCTCTCACTCGGACTCATTCTTGAATTCCTTCCTGCATGAGTCAAGAGCCTGGAGGTCCCCACCATGCTTGGGTAGAACCCCAGCTTGGAACCAGTCCAGTGACAAGCTTTCACAAGCAGCTTTGGGTAAAAAAGAATGCAACCTAATGGAAAGCATTTCCAAAATGTAGACATTCAACACACACACACACACACACACACACACACACACACACACACACACACACACACAAAAGCCCTCCAAAAAAGAAACAAAGAAGAGAAAAACAAGAAAATGTTAATTTATGGAGATTAAATCTAAAAGGATGCAAAAGATGGTAGCTTCTCCCAGGTGTTGAGAGATTTCACACTTTAGTTCAAGTATATTTATTTTTCTCTCAAACAAAAAAAGAAAAGCCAAAGAAACTTTCACCCAACCTTTAGCAGGTGACTTCCTTAGCCCAGAGTCAATGCACTGAAATACACTGAAATGTACTGCTAATGGCCTTACTTTGTTTTAGGAATTTACAGATGCAAGCCATTACTTGTTATTAATGAGTGCCATAAGCACACTGAAGGGGATGGTATCATTTGTCAAGATTCAGGGTGGACCTGACTTTGGGAATGGAGCATTCAGCCAGCTATTAAGTGAGATGGGGGCAGTCACAGACAGCAGATCTTAGTGCAAATTTGGATTCTGTACAAGAGTGGAAGGAAAAAAATATACCAATATATATTTGACACTGATATTTTACTTTTTGATATCTTGAACTAAAATTTCAAATAAATGCTAAATTATTTGAATTTTAATTTTATATTTTAGAAGTATAAATGCAGAATTTTTTTGAAACAATAAATATTAATTGTTTTTAGCTACCAAGTTTCGGGGCAAATTGTTACACAGCAATACACAGTAAATAATGAGGAAGAGAGGTTATAGCTGTTATGTTTAATTAGGAGAGCAGAGCTAGAACCAAGGATTCCAAGGAGGTAAAAACAGTAATTTTATGTAGGGAATACCACTGAATAAAAGGTTTCTCTCCCTTTATGTTATTATCTACTTTGTCTCTTTGTGGTGTCTTTTTATTTCCAAATACCTCTTCCTTCCCTATTGTCCTTATTTCTGATCCTGTTCTCACTTAATACTATGGGAGAATTCTTTCCTTGATGGAAATTATTTACTTTTACTGTATTTAAAATGTAATTTTGATATTATAAAAAAAAGATCCTTTCCTGAAAGAAAATGCTCACCAGCGAAACAATAGCATAAAGGCAAGATGGAGTTCTTCTGTGCCTGTCAATCTTCTCAATGAGCTCAGAATCAAAGGTATACCTCAAAACATGAAACTGAAATTCAATGGGCAGTGCAAAAGGCTACAAAGAATTGAAGAGATGGAGAATCTGTTTCTGGTGTCAGAGGGGGCCAATGCAATGAAGATAAGGTGCTAAGGAAAGATGACAGACTGATTCAGCTTTAAGGTCATAGAGATCAAAATCAGTCCAGCCTCTCACTTTTACAAATACAGAATCAGGAACCCAGAGAGTTCCATGGCTAGTCTTAGAAAATCCCATCTCATCTACTGTCCTCCAAGAGTCACCCCCAGTATGAACTCCCCTGTAAAATTCTCCTTCCTTTCAGCTCCTTGTTCAGACTTCTGGTCTCTTTTCTCCCTAACTGGAAAGAAAGCAGAATTTGTGATCCACATTTTCTACAAGAAAAAAAAAACAAGAAGAAAAAAAAATCAGTAAATACCCGTCCTTTGAATATATACATTCAGGTTCAGTTGGCCAATGGTAAAGCCAGGACAGGATCAGTTCAACCACAATGGTGTGACTCATGAGTCGGGGAGAGGATGTTAGATTACAACAATGTGGACTTTAGAAGGGTGGGCTCCTGACTCTTTCTAGCTTCATATTCTGGTATAAGTGACTTATTTACTCTAATCCATGATTATGTTTTATGCAAGACTATCATCGAGAACTCAATTAGACAAGTGCCCAGCACAAAGTGAGCAATACCTCTCATTCTACTCCTTTTATTCTTTAACACAAACTTTCCCACAATTTAAAGTTCCAAATTAGGAATGTGTCTTATACATATGATGTACATTTACAGGGCATAGTATTTTTTTCTTAAAAATTGCTTACACAGTCCATGAAACATCTACAATGCCTGTGTTTGAATGGAGGAAATTCAACAATTTCTTTTCCTTTTTTCTTCCATCAGTATCATCGGCCTAGCTCAATATTTTTTGAAACTTTCGGTCATGACCCATTCAGAGATTGTGAAATTAGTTTTGGGTCAGGAAGACCATTTTTAAAATAGTATAGTGAATATGGATTGCACATAATAAAAATAAGCATTTTCTAATGAACTGGGTGTGAATGTGCATGTGTATGTATCTAGGTGTCTAATAATATGTATACATATGTATATATACATATACACTTGTACAGAGAATTTATTTCTGGTCAAAGGTTTGAGAAACACTGGCATGGCTAAAATACATAAATACAGGACAGGTAAGAGTGGCAAATACAGTGATGGCTGTACAATGATGGTTTTGCCATTTCAGATCAATAATTTGAACAAGCTTGGTGGCTGGGAAGGAAAAATCAACTCAAAGGGGAAGAAGCAGCAAGAGGCATAAGAGGAGAGGACGAGGAATAGACAGATGAAAGTGGGGGCCAGAGAAAGTGAGTTTGAATGTGTTCAATGCAGCCATGCATGTACGCTCACAGGACCAAATGCCTATGTTGTCCCTTTCCCACCTAGTTCAAGGTCTTATAATGCTTATGACAGGCTAAGAGAGAGAAATTGTATAATTCTTTAAAACATCAGAGAAATATTCATTTTATTTTTTATTCTGATATGTTACACAGTCTTTGACTAAAAAATATGAAAACTAAGTAAATATTACATTAGCTAACACTACAGTCAAACCAAGCCAATAAACCTCAACTATGCACCTTCAGATGTGCCTGCTCCACCCTACCATAGGCCTTAGGACAACAAAGAGAACTAAAACCACAGTACCTGCTCTTGAAAGGCATTCAGTCTTCCAGAACATCAGAGAGGCAAACCAACAATTATAAAACCATGCAGTAAGTGTTATAATTAAGGGAAACGCTGGTGGCTATGGAGAGTTTCCTAACTCAGCCCCAACAAGGTGATTTAAAAGGTTTATAAGGAGGAGAAATGAGAACAGAGTTCCAGACAAAAGGAACAGCATGTTACAGGCCCTAACATCATTCGCCTTCAGGCACAGTTAGTAATTTGACCTGGCTACAGTGCATGTGGTGTACTGTGGAGGATTAAACAGGAAATGAAGCTGGACACATAGGCAGGAGATCAGTAAAGGAACACCTCCTCCAATATATCCCCAAATTCCGCTTAACCTTGGGTAAAACCAAAATGTCATCCCTAAGTAATGTAGGATGCACACTCTGAAAAATAATTTTACATAGGAAAACAGTATGTTAGTTAATATAAAACTGTGAAACCAGAAACTATTTCATTATTATAACCATTTTACACTGAATTAAAAGCTAAGTTATGATAATCATTGTGGAATTTCTACTGTCAAGTACAAGGGATTCTACTTCCTACAGCTCTGCGCACGCGCGTGTGTGTATGTATCTTTACAAACATGTATGAATACCAATAAAAGATGCAATCTTTGTAATGGAGCAATGAATACATTTTAAAAGTTGCTTCATGAAATACAGACGACAGCTTTATAATTTAAAGTTCTGTATTTTGTTAAACAATGCAAAGATTAAAATTATCATTAGAAGTTCGTGTTTTAAGAGAACATTCTTTGGATTCTTACCATATGCTAAGATCAAAGGATTCCAGCAAGTTTTTGCCAGCAGTTGACCAATTGTAGGGAATCTTTCAATGACTGTACTTGAATCCTGTGAAAGAAAATTATATTATGCTTTGGTCAGTAAAAGGGCACTATACAACTCAGAAAGACTGAACTGACATTGCAGGTTGAAGGAGCTTGAATGCTTCTTATTTAGTATGTATTTAAGAAAAGTAGGAAAAACAGGGTGAGAAAAGATCTTTAGGTAGGTTATACAAATCAAGTTTAACAGGCAACCACCTTCCTTCATCCTTAAACCAGGTCACAAGAACTAAGATATACAACGCATTTTAGGTAAAATCAATTTTGTTACAAAATTAATTTCACTTTACTCATAATTAACAATCAGGAAACACCACTTCATTTAAAAATAACAAAGGCTGTGTAATAGTGAAAAAACATTATGGGTGATTAACATCTTTATAATCTCTTACCTTTATCCTGGAGTTTTATTCTAACATAATAAAAGATGTTCCTAATTCAACTTCAGAAAGGCTATTTCAAAGAAGGTTTAGGAGGACAAGAACTCTGGAACTTATAAAAAGAAATAAAAGCAGCCAAAGAATAAAGATCTATATCTGTGTTCATTACTATTTTGATTACTATATACTAAATAGCATCAGAATTAGTCTATAACAATCTAAAACCTTAGATGAAAAAAGACCAACTAAATAGAAAACAGCTTAAGATTTTAAGATACACATGCTGTTGTACAATTGGCCCTTTTCCTACTTTACCTTGCAAAGAATGTTAAAAATAAGACCAAACAGGTTATGTGCACATAAGCTGAAATGATAATAAGCATTTTCTACTGCTGTAGCAAGAAATTCCTCACATTGTCTCAGCATTGAAGCCAGTCTTAAGACTTTCTGGGACCACTTTAAGGTAAGTTACAAGTCTTATTACAAAAAAAAAAAATTTAAATTAGCACTGGTTGTTCATACAGACTGCATCTTTTCATCTAGTGTCTAAAGACATATGGACTCATATCATCAACATGAATTATTCTTCAAATTTCCTACTTGCTTCTTTGATTATGGAAATAAAGTGCAACACAAGAACACCTATGTTAAATGACAATTTTACTTTTCATCTTAAAGTTAGACAATAAGTATAAAACAAATAATATTTTGACAATATGAAGGCATGTTAATTCATAAAATTATGTACTGCAATAAAAATAAATCTTATGTCAAAATGAAAATAAATTTTAATATAATAAATTATACAACTATTTTAAAGACAATCAAAATCTTAATAGTTACAGAAAACGTCACTTAAAAATATTTATAGGAAGAGAGCTTAATATTTATGATCTCTTGGTAGAGCCCACTTTAAAACAGGGTTGAGGAAAAGGTAAGCATTTCCACAAATTCTTCAATATTTAAGACTACAAAGGCCTTTAAAAGAATTCCAATTATTACGTGAGAACAAATGTCCAAGTTTTGTTTATTTAAAAACAATCTGAATGGTTCAGAAGCCTTGTGTGACAATGTAACTAATCAAGAAGAAAAGAATGAAGTCATGATGATTCACAGACAAAGAAACCACTTCCTGTCTGTATTATCTATGGGTAATTTGTCTTTCTACTCTTTCAATACATGAGATAATACTAGAAATCCCTGGTCCTGGATCAAATTCAGGGTTGGTGAAATCTGGTAAAGAGTTCCAGGTGTCACAAAATAACTTCATTAATGTTGGTCCACTACTTACCATGTCTTTCAAGGCTTCATATATCTGCCTCAGGAACTCCTGGAACTGACGTATGTGACGGCAGATGTCTTGCTGGGTTTCCAAACTGGAGGCCTGGGCCCATACAGAAAGCTTCCAAATCCAAAACTGATAATCAGAAGGAAGGCCCACTGAATCTTGAGCCATCTCAAAAAAAAAAGGGCAAATGAGATGAACCTTCACAGTGGCTTGTCAAGCACTGAAGAAGAGAGTGAGCACATATTGTCTGTAAGAAAGGGGGAAAATTAAATATTTCATAAAGGATCTTTTATTGGCGACTTCACAATTCACTGATGTGTAAAAAGGGGATTACAGGACACTAAAATAGCATGCTTTTTGTGGAATCATCTCTGAATTATTTTAAAATATGTCACCCAGCTGTAGCTCCAATCATTACCATCTGAACTTTTTATCATGAGTAATATCATTATACTCAAAGTCATTATACCTCCACAGACACATGCTAATTATGTACAAAAAGCACAGCTGATAATACTTTATATCTTTTTTAAAAGATTGAGCTATTTTTAAATGTTCAGAATATGAAGTTCCTTTGAGTATTTTAATATAATGGGAAATCAAAAACATTCATGGGCATTTAATAATAGCCTGTGTCTAAGAAATGTTTTTTGAAGTTCTTATGTTTTATATGCATTTCTGGCTTCTCATTCAGGTGTGTAAAAAAATCTCTATGCATTACTGTCTAATGAATTTTCTTCCCAATTTCTCTTCGTTTCTGGGGAAAAAGTAAAATAATTAATTTCATAAGCATCAATTTGAACAATCTGCTTTAAGACAGCTCAATCCATTCACTCACAAGACAAAAATCATATTTTAGTAAAATATGATAAACTCCAATTACTGAGGAGGTGTACTAGTCCTAAGTGACAGAAAATAAGTCATAAACTTGACTTAATAAATCTGAAGAATACGTTAAACAGAATAGCGGAGTTAATGCAGTGAGCATGTGCCTCAGAGTGAGACAGGGAAACAGACTCCAGGTGCTCCACTACCATCCTAGCCTCCTGGCCAACCTCACCATGGGAAGCACACCAGGCAGAGAAGGGAGGGCTGCTTCAACAGGTGTAGGCCTTTAAAGATTCATACCTTTCTGGGGCAGGGATGACACTCAGCTATCTAATTTCAAAAGAATACTCTGCAAGTGCTAAGTTTAAATCCTCATCAGCAATAAGCAACAGACAAAATGTTGCCTATTACATGACAAAAACATCAACAAAGGAGATTCTCATTACTAAGCAAGAAAAATTAAAGAAGATTGTGCTATTAGGCTGGGGAAAAACCAAAAACCAACAACCTAGACCAGAAGATTGAAAGTTTTAAAAAGGTACTAAAATTTTAGTATAAAAAACATTCATATTAAAATGAAAAAAAAAAAGCTTTAATAACAGAGAGCATATACACATACTGTCAAATGGTACATAATAGCCAAAAGTGATTCTTCCCTTTCTCTCATTGTCCTCCTCATCCAAGTTATCACCAATATCTGCCAATTACTTCCAAAATAAATACAGGCATATCTCGTTTTAAAATGCTCCACTTTATTGTGCTTCCAGAGGTTGCACTTTCATTGTTTCAAGACATGCACTTTCAAGACATGACCTCCACCACCGAAAAAGATTATGGTTTACTGAAGGCTCAGACAGTGGTTCAATAAAATATTTTTTAATTGTTATGTTCACTTGTTAGACATAATACTATTGCACACTTAGCAGACTATAGTATAACGTAAACATAACTTTTATATACACTGGGACATCAAAATATTCGTGTGGCCTTGCTTTATTGAGATATTCACTTTACTGCAGTGGTCTGCTAGCAAATCAACAATATTTCCGAAGGATGCCTGTATGTATGATTTGATTCGATTTCATCTACTTCTTTTCATCTCTACTGCCTCCATCCCATCCCATTCTCATCCATGTCTTCCCTGGAGACTTCTACTTGGTCCCACCCGACCTTCTCCATTTCATTCTCAATGAGAAAAAATAACTCTATTAACACAACTGACAAAAACAACTTTCCCAAATGTATTACCTGACCCAGTACTGTAGGGGGGCGCTTTGAGTGGTATCGGGAACTGTAACCCCACACAAGCTGGGGACTGGGAAAGGACCCATAAGTTTTGGCCGGAATGCCTATAATGCTGGAGGCATGCAAGACCCAATATTGACTCCAAGGGCTCCACGGGGAAATCAGATTTAGAAGTAAATTACACTCCTTGAAGCATGCTTTGTTTCTCCCTCCAGCTCTGTTAATCATATACCAAATAACCAGCTCAAGGCTGGGAAAGAAATTTACAAAACTCCTGGACCCTGACTCAAATCCCACCTGGTGCCATAATGTTTGCTCAACTCTGTTCTGAAGCAGTTCGGTGTGTTCCTGCCATTGCCATATTAAACAATATCTATTCTCTGTAAACTTAAGCTGCTGATGTAATTAGATTACCTACACAGCTCTGCTGCCTATCCCCACCTGAAATTCTCTCAATAAAAGCCATTGAGCACAGGGGCTCAGGACATTTCCCACCAGAGGGAATCGCCATCTCCTTTCCTCGACAGACAACTGGTGTCTGCAATCACTTGTTATTTCATCCACTGCAAATCGGAGGACTCCTCAGGACGGAGTCCCCCACAGACCAGATCCCTGCTTAAATACCATCCCCCATAGCTGTCTTGCAAATAAACCCTAACTCCTTGTTAAAAAAAAAAAAAAGAAATCATCATCATCATCATCATCATCATCATCATCCCAGTGCTTTACCAGACTCTCCAAGGCCCTGTAAAATATAGTTCCAGCAACCCTCCCTCCTTCCATGTTGCCTCTGTCCAGGATACCACAGTCCAGTCCAGGCCTCTCATCTGTGCCACCAACATGGCAAACCATTCCCTGCTTCCAGACCTTTCTGCCAACTCCTCCAGAGCTATTACATTGGTAATTACCCTGGCATTCATTGTTCACTTAGTTACTACTTCATCTAGGGAATTAGTATGTAAATTCTCTCTTCCTAGAATTGCCACATGCCTGGCAAAGTATTCAATTGTTCAAAGTATGGTTCTGAGCTAAATGCCATAACAAAATACTTTTCCAGATAAAGCATTTTAATTTTTAAAAGGTACCCCCCCTCGAATTAAGGTATTTTATGTTACCTATATTAAACTTAACTATTAATATCCCATTTTAGAAATATAATAGCTTTTACATACACACACCTACTATGCTCTTGGGAGTATGTTAAACACTTTATGCATCTAGCTAATTTAATCCTAACAACAACCCCATGAAATAGGTACAATTATCATCATTTTACAGAAGCACAGAGAGATGATTTAATTGCCCCAAATAAGATTATGTAAAAGCCCAAAGGAAATAACTGTAGAAACAGCAGAGCTACAATTGTGGGACCTGAATTGAGAAAGTCCGGTTCCAAAGTTGATGTCCTTAAATAAATAAACTGAAGAAATAAACTGATGAATTTCTTACGTATTTCACATGACTCTAGGTGCAAAATCAGTTTAGCTATTTGGAGACAGTGAATTAAAGAAATTTTGTTTTCATTTTTTAAATTAAGATATAATTGACATATTAGCTTCAGGTGTAAAACATAATGATTCAATACTTGCATTTATTATGAGATGATCACCACAATAATTCTAGTTAACCACAGTAACAAAATTTTTTTCTTGTCGGTTCACACCACAAAGTTAGGAAATCTCACCACAAGAATCAGAAGCAAAAAAGGAGTCTCACAAATAATGGGAAGACAAAGAAATATGCTCCACTTGAAGGGAAAGGAGGGATCCCCACAAAGAGAACTAAACGAAATAGGCAAGTAAACTCTCAGATACTGAGTTCAAAACAATGGTTCTAAGGAAGCTCAATGAGCTCAATGAGCTCAGAGAGAATTACAAAAAACTACAGGGAAACTACAAGGAACTTACTGCAAACTGTATCACCATGAAAAAGGACATAGAAACTATCAATAAGAGACAAGAGGAAATGAAGAATACAATCTCTGAATTGAAGAACACAGTAGAAGGAATCAAAAGCAGGCTCGATGAAGCAGAGATTCAAATCAGCGACCTGGAGGACAAGGTAGAAAAAAGCTCCCAGAAAAGGCAAGAAATGGAAAAAAGACTCAAAAAGAATGAAGAGGCATTTTGGAAAATGCAGGACAATCTGAAATGAAATAATATCCGTATAATAGGGATACCAGAAGGAGAAGAGGATGAGGAAGGGATAGAGAAGCTGTTTGAAAAAGTAATGATGGAAAACTTCCCTAATTGGGGGAGAGAAAAAGTCACACAAGACCAGGAAGCACAGAGGGTACAATTCAAGAGGAACCCAATGAGGCCCACTCCAAGATACATCATCATTAAAATGGCAAATAGCAAAGACAAACAGAAAATCCTAAAGCAAGCATGGGAGAAAGAGGTAGTAACATATAAGGGAGCCCCATACGGCTAGCAGCTGACTTCTCACCAGAAACACCGCAAGCCAGAAGGGAATGGCAAGAGACATTCCGAGCAATGAAAAGCAAAGGCCTGCAACCAAGACTGTTCTACCCAGCAAGGCTCTCAATTAAAATGGAAGGTGAAATAAGGAGTTTCCCAGACAAAAGAAGGCTAAAAGAATATACCTCCATCAAACCAGCACTACAAAATATTCTACTTCAAGATGACTGCTTTAAGATGAATAAAAAGTTTCTATGAGTACCCAGTTCCTTTCAGAGTTGCCAACACTTGATATTACCAATATTTTTAATACTCATTAATCTGATTGTGACAATGATATTATTTTAATTGTTCCTTTACTATTTGTTGAAACTAAACCTGTTTTTGTATATTTCTTGCCTATTTATATTATTTTTAAAAAAGCTTTAAATGAATTTTTGGTATTCTTTACCCATTTATTGATGAAAGGTTTGTAGAACCTTTTTCCCTAAAAAAAAAAACAAAAAGAACAAAACTATTAACCATGTTTTAGATGTGTTTCAAATACTTTCCTATTCTATCCCTTGTCCTTTAACGTTTTTTATATGTATTTTACTATATAGTCTTAAATGTTTAATATAGTCATATTGTTGGTATTTACTTTATAGCTTCTGGAGTTGAATATTTTATTTCAGG